ATGTATGATATTCCTGTTTTGGTTGGTCTTTGCCTTTGTGACTCACTCTTTGTGGTGAAAAATTAAGTTTACTCAGACAGAAAAATAAAACAGATTTTAATATAATGGTATGAGTTGCTCCATTTAAAAATTATGGAGTATTTCAGAGCAGCAGTGGTTCATTGTTTAGAGCAGTTGCTCACCTTCCCGAATATCGGAGTTAAGTTTTTGCTTAGATAATGTCTATCTGTTGTTGTGACCTTAGGCAAGACACTTCTCCCGCTATGCCAATGAATGTGGTGTGTTGGCATGATTATCAAATCACAAAGGCTGCAATTATTTCAATACTAGAATGTCCTCTGCAAGGAATAAAACATCCTGTCTTTTTAGTTTGGTCTTTTCAGAGGCCTTGTTAAAAGCAAATTTTGAAATTCAAGGGAGTCTTGTATCAATTCATATTCCACTCTTCTTGCAAATGTTGAGAGCACGTGCTGCTTACTATGTGAACAGAATTTAACTTTTTAAAAATAAAATAACTGCTAATCATAATTGCAATTCTGCTCAGGAACTTTGAGAAAATAGCAGCCTTATTGCAGACAGTGCTTGTGGGAGTTGGATAGTTCCTCCTCCTCTGGCTCTGCTCCCGTCATGTTTGACTTTGACCCTTCGTCTGTGCACAAACAACAGTCTGGGCCTTATCTGTGACCTCAGCTGTTCAGGACACTCACTCAATCACTCTAACACACTCCATATGTTTCAAAAAAAATATCATGAAGGCATGTGTGAAGATGAATTCACGTTTGATAATGCGTACGTTCAGAAATTGTTGCTGATGTATTGGCTATGTCAGTACAAAATTGTCTGGGGGTGAAAAGTAACTTAACTCAGATTACTGTTACTGAGTGGATTTTTTTTAGGTAATTTTGATTTTTCAAGTAGATTTTTATACCTGTACTTGTACATGTACTTTAGCATATTTCTAGCCTGTAAAAGTTAGTTACATGTAAATAGTGATGGAAGAAGTATTACATTTTTTACTTAAGCAAAAGTACAGATACTGGATCAAAAAAAAACAAAAAAAAAACAAAAAACACACGCACACACAAGTAAAAGTAAAAGTATCTCATGAAAAAAATCTACTGAAGTAAAAGTATTGAAGTACCTGTACTTAAAGAATAAAAAGTAAAAGTATTTCACAGAGATTATGAGGTCTAACAAAGCTTCAAATGTTTAAAATCTACATAAGTATACTTAAGTAGAGCACATTACTACTTTTACTTTGTTATGTGCCACCACTACATATACACTACCAGTCAAAAGTTTTACAACACCACACTTTTTCCAGTTTTTTACTGTTTACTGTTTACTGTTGACCAAAACATATTCTAAACTTTTGATTCATGAAAGTTAGTCTGATTCATCAGCCTGTTTCACTTCTTGGAAACCATCTGACCTTGCAGCATTAGGATTCTTTTGCTCGACGGTAGGCAGGTACTTTTTTATTTAACCAATTGCTGCTATTTGGTCATGATGTATATAATGCGGCGGAATGCTCAGTGGTGTCCAAGTAACTGCCGGCACAACAGCAAACAAAGCATAGGGTGAAAATCCTCGATCTCGGAAATTGTTACCAACACAGAATGTCTGGCTTCCTCTACATCCATCTCGACCTCTTTGTTTACTGTTGTGCTGTACCACAAAAGGGACCCAGACAGGCTTTTGAGTTTGATGTCATGGCTTCACAGCTCTTAGCTGATTGGCCGGTGTGCGGTCTACAACTTCCAGTGTTCTTGCAAACTGTCTAGTCTATTCTGATTCCTGACCTAGTCTCTGGAAAGAAATGAAAGTGAAGATACTAGGTGGCGCCAGCCTGGCTACATGAAAGTGTCCACCTTTGGCAGATATAACAGCTGAACACACTCGTGGCACTTTTTTTAACAATAGAAATCAAATATTCTTCAGAAAGTTCTTCTCAAGTCTGTTGCAGAAGTTCCCATAAATGTGTGGCACTTGTAGGTTGCTTGGCTTTCCCTCTTCTGCCCAGTTCATCCCAAAACCAGCTCAATGGGGTTTAAATCTGGAGACTGTGCATGTTTTCAGGCTTACCATCTTGTTCTTTTTTTCCTGAGGGAGTTTTGGCAGAGCTTGGACTTATGTTTTGTTATCTTTTATCTTTTTTCTAACCTCTGGCTGTTCAGTACTTACGTTTGTACCATTTCAAACTCACTGGACTCGCACGACTTGAATTGCAATAGATAACTTGGAAAAATTTGAGTGTTCTAAAACTTTTGACCGATAATGTAAAAATCATAGAAGTTACTGAGCATTGTACAAGTTCCAGTTTTCTTAATAACCATCTGTCTCACCTCTACAAAGACACACCTGCTCTGACAGGCCAGAGAATATGTGGATTTGGGATTAAAATTATAATTTAAGTTTTACACAGTTTAACTGATCAACTTTGGTACAAAGTCATCAGAGTCATCAAAAATGCTATTAAAAGTTGTGCTACAATAACTTAAAATACTGATTAGTAGTATTTTTCATGTATTCTTTAAACTTGAACGTAAGCACAAATTTGGCAGCAGTTCTTGCACTTGTAATTCAGATTTTCAGTATATTTTTTCCACCTCTGATATACTATTCAAATAATATTCAAACACAAAATGTATAAAGAGATAGCAGCGGTTCCTTTGTCCTATTCGTCGTGGTGTAGACCTGGTTTAATTCTGGTTTATCCTCACAGCTCCGGTGGTTAGTGCTTGTTTACCTTTTGTCTTATTTAGTCTCAATTTCAATTCCCTTGTTTGGTCCCTGCTCAGTCTCAGCCCACTCAAAGTAACCTAGAAACTCAGATTGAAAACATAGCAACCTGTAGCCAAAAGTTATGTACTATCAGCACTGTAAACGCTTGGTAATTTCTTTTAATGACACACTTTAAATGTTGCAAAAATTCTGTTGTACGTGACATGGGGTTGCCGGGAAGCACCGTGTAATCCCTGTGCTCATTTAAACTGAGCCACTGTAATATCCTGGCTGTTAGTAGCGGCCGCAGGGACAGAGTCGTCGTGACACAATAAAGGGGAAGTCATAAAAGAAGCTGAGCAATAGATTTTAATGGGTGAATTAGCAGCTCAGCATACAAACGCTGTGGTGGTAAACAGATGTAGGATGCATAGTAAATATAAAGGAGCCAGCAGAGTAGTGTGTGTAAGTAAACAGAAATAAGATGTGAAATGTATGGTATTACTGTTTTGGTTGGTCTTTGCCTTTGTGACTCACTTTCTGTAGTGAAAAATAAGAATTACAACTCAGACTGAAAAATAAAACTTAAAAAAAATATTTTTTTTAACATAATGGTACGAGTTGCTCCATTTAAAATTATATAGTATTATTTCAGAACAGCAGCGGCTCAGTGTTTAGAGTGCTCGTCCACCAACCTGAATGCCGGAGTTTGATTCTTGCTTTACCAAGTTTGTCTGTTGTTGTGTTCTTAGGCAAGACACTTCTCCCAGTATGCCAGTAATTAGTTGTATTACACACTGCAAAAAATAAAAAGCAGCCAAGTTCAAATTACTTCGGTTAAGAAACTTTTTTTTTTTTTTATCATGATTTGAGTAAATTTCCCTTGACGAGTAAAATTATCTACCATTGGAATAGAACAAGACTTTTTGTACTTAAAATATGAAAATACATCTTGCAACACTTAAGATAAGAAAAACAACACCTCCTTGGACTTAAAATAAGAAATAAACCCTAATGTTGCTTAAATTAAGAAAAACACACTTGCTCCACTGGTAAGTAATTTTATTTGTCACGCTGAAACTACTCAAATAAAGTTAAATGTTTTTATTTTTAACTTACCTAAATATTGCTTTTTGTAGTGTAAATGCTGATTAACCTGTATAATATATTATTTTGGTAATGAGATTTTAAATAAACAAACGAGGGGCGCCAGTCGCAAAAACTGTTGTTGTGTCCTTAGGGAAGACACTTCACCCACTTTGCCTATGAAAGTGGAGTGCGAGTGAGTGTTGGTCATGGTCAAGGGGGACGATGGTGCAGATTGGCAGCCTTGCTTCTGTCAGTCGGTCCCAGGGCAGCTGTGGCTGTGGAATGAACTATAAAGCGCTTTGGGAGTCTTGAAAGGTGCTAAATAAATACAATGATTAATTAATTAATTAAATGTATAACATCTAGAGGAGAGTTGCAGGCAGCAGTCTAAGGACTCTCAGACTTCCCACTCCCCAGACACTTCATATAGCTCCTCCAGGTGTTCCCAAAACCAACCAAAACACATAGTTAACACCTCCAATATCTTTTCCGAGATGTGTTATTGATATATACCCTTCGTATTTTGTCAAAAGTCGGTTTACAAAAACTCAAACCCAATTCTTGATTTGAGTAAGAGTTTGTGTTGATTTTAACAGCTTGAGGATGAATTTCCAGTTTTCTGACTCCCCCTGAAGCAGCACAAATTCATATTCTGAGTGTTTGACACAGCAGAGCCTGGTATTACATGAGATTGCAGAAGATTGTAGAACAAGTGTCAGATGAGGACAACATTATGCAGGGCTTTCAGGAAACTGTCAACAGCTCAATAATACTGTCTGTAACGGCTCACACAAACATGGGTAGGGGTTTTCAAACGCTACTGTGTGGTTTAGACAGGTTGTTCAATCTCCAAATAGTGCTGCTGATGTGTCCTTTGGCAAGACACACCCTTCAGTTGAAATGTATCTGAATGAAGGTTTATTGTAGTTAAATGTCTGTGCCAAATAAGGTCAAATTAAAGGCTCTGTACCAGAAGTATTAAAAAAGGTAAACTACCAATATATAACATAACACAACTTTATATAATCCTGTATTGTCCTATATCCTTGAGTAGTTATTTTCACCTACCGCCTATCCCCACCTCCTTCTCTGTACTCTGATTATTAAAAAAAAAAAAAAATCAGTCTTACTGGCCTAAACATCGATGAAAAGCATAACATCTTCTTTAAAAAATGACTTGAAACATGTTAAAGAAAAAAATATCAATATTTATTTGCAGTATAAACATGTGTATTCATATACTGTACAATACATGGGGACAATCGTATTGGTTCAGTCACAGAACTGCCCTGGTTTATCATGCCTCATATTTTACACAGACAGATTGCATCTTTAAAAACTGTTTACAGCACAATACAAAACAGCGATTCAACCAGAGTATGAAGCTGTAACATAATGCAAGAAAGATGCATTGTCAAAAAAATCCCTGAAAATTTCCTCACTGAGGTAACGTTTTAATCATTCACTCCACGCTCCTTCTCTGCACCGTCCCTTATACAAGTCTGCAGGGCTGGACTGTAACTGGGCTCACACGGACACCAGTCTGAGGATTACATTTACTGTTTGGCGCACATTCAGTCTAACTATCAACTGGAGAAAGAAGTAGACTAAGTGAGTGTGACATTGCCCATGGTGTTTGGCTCCAGACAAATGAAGCTCATGAAGGCTTGCAGTTACAAAGGGCAAATTTGGAGCAATTTGCAAATTTGGAGTATCGTAGTAACCAAAAAGCCAAGGCTGTTGAAGGCAAATGCTTTTCTCCATTGAGATGTTCATTTTCTGCCTAGAATGTTCCACACTATGGCATTTTACATTGTCATTCAATATATTTTTAACAATAACACCTGTTTACCATGTTTAGCGCAACTCTATTGAACATTCCAGACAAACAATAACAACTGCACGGAGGCAATCAGGGCAGACTAAAAAAGTTACATAATCCACCTTTAAAGGATTAAATCATTTGAGTCATGATATTAATTCTGATCGATTTTGCTTTTACTGTAAGGCACCAGAACACAAATTTAAGATGAAGCTTTCTGAATTACGCTGTCTCTACGTTCAAGTGAACAAAAATGGGGGATATAAAATGCATTATATTTTGAAACTCAAGTGTAATTGTCCAGTGTGCAGCCAGTTAGTTACCACCAAGCCCTGACACCCACATAGCCCCTCCCTGTGAAACATTCTTACCAAAGTGTAGCTACAAGTTTAAGGACACAGAAACTCTCCGTTCCCATGATCGACCAAATTTACAAAACAGAGAAAGACAGAGTTTCTCTTTCATTATTACAAAGACACAAAACACCAGAAAACAACTGGAGATGGGCCACTTCGTCAGTACAAAAATGTGAAATCTCGATCCAAAGTTGTGAGTGATCGAGACCCCAGTGTGTAAGATGGTGATATGATTCTGACGGTTTAGTCCATTCAAGCTATGTGTGATATTATTATTATTCTCCATCCCAGGTGCTATAAAAGGAGAGGAACTTTTGCATATAAAGTCATAACATGTATAATAGATATATATTCCAAAGGCCACAGGAATAGCATAGAGCACATTATATCCAAACAAGACAAAAACATCTGGATTCCTCTGTGGTAGAGTAGGTGTGTCCACAAAGTAACAATAGTACAGATGAGAAATTATTTTTTTTCTCAATAACGTAAAATTTGATGTTGACATGGGTAAAAAATATGACTTTGTATACCACCTTAATACTTTCTGTCAGTTGAATAAAGGTGCACTGTGTAGCGTGAAGCATCCGTTACTTGCTTATTTCTAGGGAGGTGTTATTGCTCTATCTAGATTAGAATGTTTCACAGTATGACATTAAACCTATCTCCATGGAGAAAAGGAAATGGTGCCACCTGGTCAAGTTACAGATCAGGTTGACCCAGCTCACAGTAAGACTCAATGTTTTCGAGGTATTTTTAGCAATAAAAATACCTGTAATTTAATAAATGCAAGATAGATTAGTTTATTGTCATACTGTGGAACATTGCAAAGAAATAACATCTCTGTGGAGACAAGTAAATGGAAGCAGAAAAGGGACATAGTAGACCTTTAACTGTCCAATTGTGTCCTATTAATGTGATCTTGTTGATACTTGTTCAAATGAATACATAGTTTTGATACTAGTTTTAGAATAGATTTTTCAGATTACTAACCTTAAGCATCCAACTTTCAGCAAATAAAAATACACATCATTTATATATTAAAATAGATATCAAAATAATACATGTCTGAACTTCCTGGACACACCTTGTACTTCTCTGTGAATCAATGGCATGCTTTGACTTAGCTCTTTGGACACAAAAAATTAGTCCACAAACTGTAAGAGCTTTTATACTTTTCCAGAAAATTTGTACAAAAACAAACGAAAAAAAAATCTACAAAATTCTGCGTAAAAGTTTGGATATATTGCAGAGTAACAAAGCTGACCTCGTGTGACCCGTGATCTGATTCAACGAACATTTTACATTTTACACGTTTATAGTGAGAACAGTCAACAGTTATAAGAACAGTTATAAGGCCAGCTATGACCAAACATTACTCCAGTTTGTTCCCTTAAAAATATCACTTCACTGTTTCTTTTTGACTCCACTGAAATTACAACGTTACTTTTTAATCGTTTTGTGTGAATAGTTTGGTTGGTTGCTATAACAACTTAAAGATGTACGGTGTAAAGTTTCTAGTGGAGGGTTTGCCACTTTCTTGACTCTATGAAGATGTTATTACTTTGCTATTTGTTACACAGTATGGCATTAAATGTATCTGTTTCCATAGAGACAGGTCAGATCTGTGGAGTGGCGACCCCGCTCACAGTAAGAATGCGTATTTTTCGAGCCATATTTTCATCAGCATTTGCGGTTGAATAAAGATATATGTTTAATGCCATACTGTGGAATATCTCAGGTAAAGCTATAACATCTCTATGGAGACAAGGAGCTGGGACCTGACACCAGAAAAATGACACAATGCCTCTTAAAAAAAAATGCTTTACACTGGGAGAATCATACTCCAAATTCAGAATTCCTTTAAAAGCACTGTGCGAAATTGCAAGATAGGGTCAACATTACTAACCACAGAAACAAGGGGTCAGTAGAGGAATGACTGATTAGAACCTGATTCTTTGAACTATATATTTATCATTGTAAGGGCCATAGATACTAAAATAAACCATAATGGGCATTAGTTTTAGTGTGATATACTAGCTATGTTGCTGATCATTTAGAATGATCGCTTTACCGTAGCGAGACAGGGCATTAAGTGTTAGTATATGAGAAAAGTTACTTAAAGTCTTCACTATTTTAAGGTATAAGGGCATTGTGGCTTAATTTATAAAGCATTTATCTCACAACCAGAAGTTTACTGGTTCAGTTCAATAGCTTAACTACTGAAAAACTAGGGCTATTATACTTTGACTTGCTGAGTGCTATCAAATTAAGTGCTGCAAATTTGATTGTAATTCGATAATGCTGTCTAATTCAAATGAGAAACTAATCAAACATTTTCTTATCTAAAATACTGATTAATCTCAAAGTGCTAGAATAGGGTCTAAGAAACTCGCAATGCTAAAAAAAGCTATTCTTATCTGTCTTTTTCACTTGATTTAGCTGTTGGCCATCCCATTCAAATGTACCAAAAAGCACACAGGACCTTGGCATGCTCAGGTATACAAAATATGATAGATCTCTTTACTATTAGCTCTAGAATATAGTATATAAATATTTCATTTTCAATATATATCTATGTTTAATAATACCCAAGGCGTAAGGGTGATCAACTCAATTTTCTTGGATAAAATTTGGGGTTTAATTTAATTAGAAAGAAAAGAATTATATTAAGATTTTTGGCTGAAGCAGTGAAGAAATAATGAATTTAAGTGCAGCTATAGTAAGTGAGACCAGTCCCAGTTTGAACTATGAGAAAAAGAGAAAAATACATAATAAAAATATAAATTACTGTAGCTTAATGGCCAATTGTTTTTAAGATCAGTTTAAATATGGCCAATCTAACTGGGGGAAAGTGAAACTAGTTTACTACCGTTGAGTAATTTTGGCAAAAGTAGTGAGTTTAAACTATGAGGAAGATAACTGAGTAAAACCCATATGTTTAGAAGAAAGAGCTGGTGATAAGGAACAGTCCGAAGTTGGGCAACAGTCACATGACAGGAAGGAGGAAGTAGGAACTGGGTGAGTCGTTATGGCAACACTTTGACATTACTACACACTGCCACGTATTGGGTAAGGCATATGTTGGATGGCTAATCTTATCCACCTATGCACTAAAATAATAAATCATATAAGCATTTGCCTGGACGTTACTGTACATAGAAGTGCCTCTAGTTGCGTTTAGTTCACTCGATAGATGATAAAAAATATGCTGATAAAATTATGTTAGATTCAAGGTGTATTTCTGAAATTATTAACTTGATTTTGACAGCATATTTTTACCACCCAGCTGTTTCTGTACTTTGCATTGCAACACAAAAATTTCCCCCTTGTGAATCACATGAAGGCTCACCTTCATCCTTACTTGGCAGTGTTTAGTAATGCTTAAGTGCTCCCGATCATGTAAATTTGGCATCTCCACTTGAATCGTCAGTTGTAGTGACTAACCCTATGGGCACATCTCCTCAGTGGCTGGTGGCTGGTCATGCTCAGGGCTTGTTCCTGCTCCCTCCCCACCTCCGAGTGCAGCTGTCTGGGCACGTCACGGCCTGGGACTGGCCTCTCCTCCACTCCTCCACTCCTCCACTCCTCTCAAACGCCTCTTTATCTGCGCGTCAAGTGCCAACAAGTCAATGGCACTGTGCAAACCGCATTAGGTCTTGGTACTAAGCTAAAATGGATGAAAAATTCTAGTTTAAAGTGCATATGACAGGTTCATTTCACTAAAAAACAGTTAACGAAATTATAGTTTAGATATTACAAACATATTTCTAGGTTTTATGATTTTGGTGGTTTATCATTTTACCACCACAATAGTTATAATTACACTAATAAAAATAAATGACGGCAAATGTCAATGCATTTTGAATGAAATTTTCCATGTTGATGACGTTGATAGAGGTGTTTGGTTTTAGAACTCACCTCCACTTCCTGTATTTTTGTATTATATATATATTCTTTCACATTTTTTCCACTCACTACCACTTGACTGATGTAAAACTATGAAAAACAGTAAAGTTGCAGATACAATCCCATCAAACCAAAACATGAAAGCCTGTCATATGCGCTTTAATCACTATAGGGATTTTGGACTTGCCACAGTCCTTTAGTCATACAATCAAAAGCCATTATTTGATTAACGCTTTTGGACAAAGATAAGCTTCTATGTAGTATACTATATAGAGTAGTTATATATAAGATTTGTGTGTAAATACGCAAAAGTTACAAAAATGCATAACGACATACTGGTTAAGGACTGCTACAGTATGCACCATTAGTACATACAGTACACACATACATACATCGTTAATGAGAGTTAATTCCTTGGTTTTTAAAAACTCTACTTTTTCCGTAGAGTGACATTTCCATTTAGAGTAAATCCTGGATTCTCCACTTGGCACCAGTCAAATTTATACAAGAAACACAACATTACGTCCATTAAAATCTGTGCAGTGCTGATCCCATGTTACTGTATATAAAGCTTTGCAAAGTCTTCAATAGCCACTGGTCTATTGTGAGTTATTGTAGTCAACTTAGGCCGAAAATATGGCCATAACCTTTTAGCATCTCTCTCGGTTAAAAATCTTCTTCTTAACTTGGCATTTGAGAGCATCTTCTCCCGTCAATGGCGCTTTCAGATGCTAGCCTCTTAGCATATAAGCTACAAGAAGCCAAAACATTCACCAAAACTGCCTTGTTACCTTTATAATAGGCAGCCATTCTGTGTAAAGCCGTACCCTCTTTCCAGAAGGCGAGATTCAATTGGTTTTCATGTGGACTCCAGCGTATCCAGTTGAAATACGTTGTGATTGGTCGGTGTGGTGAAAAACAGCTGGTCGTGGGGAGGAGTTGACGTGTGGTTGTCACAAGGACTGTTTAAGCCAAGAGTTCGCTCAAAATCCAAAAGTTGGCCCATGAAGTTGAAATTGGGGGAGATGTTGGACTTTTTGCGTTTGACGAAATCGTAGGCGTCGTTGAGCGAGAGGTTGAGCTTTTGCATCAAGTAGGCCACGGTGACGGTGACGGAGCGGCTGATACCGGCCAAGCAGTGGACCAGAATACCACACTTTTTGGAGCGAGCCTCGTCTAGAGAGAAGCAAAGAAGAAAAAAAGCACAAAAGCACAAAAGGTTAGAGTGATACATTAAAAGATTGTGAATGGCTAACGCTGAACGATTTGGGAAAAATATCTCATTTCAATCTTTCTGACAAGCATTTTGATTAGATTTGCAATTTATGTTTTAATAATAGAATTCTGTTTAAAGTTCACAGTTTCAAAACTCACTATGAAATGGAAATAACAAACTAATACAAGAATCACATTTCAAAACATGTTTATGCAGATCTGAACTACAGGGTGAGCAGATTTCATGCAGAATAAGACCAAATATTTTTTTGTTTGTGGAGGAAATTATGAGAGCCTATGCAATTTGCTAGTCGCATCCATTCAATTGTGATTTCAGTTTGATTCCGCTAAAGATAAAGGTGCACTGTGTATTTTTTCAGGTTGGGTGTCCATAGTCTTGTGTCCATGGAGATGTTATTTCTTTGCATAGTGTCTCTAAACTTCTCTATCTTGTGTTTTATTCAATTAGAGGTAGGCGTGTAACAATATCCAAGTCTCACGATAGGATATCGTCATGGTATGAACCTTACGGTACAATATTTATTGCAATATCGTGGGAAAGCTCACAATATGGTGGGGAAGCTCACGATTAGGGATGTAACAATATCCAATATTTTCATGATATATATCTCATGCTACAATATTTATTGCGGTATTTTATGGAGGTTAAACAGCTACAACTGTTAATATGCTACTTTTTCCTCTTAAAATGCCAAAGAACTAAGACTTAAAAGTGTTTAGAACTGTTATTTCTTCATGTAGTCTGCACTGAAATGGAGCAAAGGATCATGGTCTATGTAGTTCCCTCTGTGAGAACTTTGACGATACGATATCACGATATTTTGGTTATTGTTACATAACTAATTATTAGCTCATAATCCCAAGAATTCAAGTAAAAAACATATTCCTTCATGTTGTCTGTGCTGAAATGAATCATGGGACATGTAGTTTCTGATGTTTATAAGCTGTTGCTACTATAAAATCATGCATTTAAGCAAAGGAACTTGTGATTCGATATATTGTGACAGCCCACGATATTATTGAGACTTTTGACGATACGATATCATGACATTTCGATTATTGTTACATCCCTAATTACAGGTGGCTTCATATGCAAGGCAATAACATCTCCATGGAAACAAACAGGAAGTGAACCCTTCCCCAGAAATGTCAGATTTCTTCTGAATATCTTTTCTTACACACAAACCACTACTACACCAAAGACCGTAACCATAGCGATTTCTGACTGTCAATATGTTAGCACAGCCTTTTACCACTAAGTCAAACAGTAAACAGAAAGAATAAACTCTGATAAATCCCTTTACATCCTATAACAATTAACGTGAGTCTTTTTAGTTTGCAGCACAATTTCTCAATGACACCATTCACTGCTATGTCTTCTCTCTTTAAGAATGGCGCTGGCTTCCTTCTGCTCTCCGGCTCTTACTCAACAGAAAACCTTGAATAAAACCCATGCATTATTTACCATGCTTTCCACAGCCACGGCTTTCACATACACCACTACAGACCATTAGAGAGCAGGCTTAAGTGCTTCTTTCATCCTTATCTCTCTCCCTCTCTCTCTCTCTCTCTCTCTCTCTCTCTCTCTCTCTCCAGCCATACGCTCTCCCTTCCTCTCTCCATTTCCACTCGGGCTGTTGCAATACTAAAATTCTGAACTTGATTTTGATACCACGGAGAACGCTCAACTGGTGCATCTTTCACTCCTTCATCCTTATCTCTATCCTCTCTCCTCTCTCTCCCTCTCTTCCCATCTCTCCTCCCTTCGCTTTCTCCCTCTCTCCAGCCCTACGCTCTCTCCTCTCCTCTCCTCTCCTCTCGCCATTTCCACTAGTGCTGATGCAATATGAAAATTTCAAAATTGATTTCAATACCAAGGAGAAACCCCAAATAGTTTCATGTTCCCTGTTCTGGGCAATATTTTGAAAACATCTCACTGTTTAAAAGAAAGGACCATTTGGGATGAATTGTTAAAAAATGCTATGGAAACAGTCCTAATAAATAGATAAAAGAGCTGATAAAAAATTACAACTGAAAAGCCGAGATTGCGATTAGATTTGCAATTTGTGTTTCAAAAATACGAGAGCGCATCTTGAGAAGCAATAACATTTGAGAGAATCACATGGCTTTTCATAACATGTTTTTGAATATCTAAACTACAGCTAATATGATTTCCCTCATAAGAAACTGGATATTTTGTTGCTGGCAGAGGATATCCATTCTATTTGTGTCACTTCAGATTTTGATTACATTTTGATTTATTGTGCAGACATACTTTCTTCACAATCTCCCCACTCCTCCCTGTTTCCATTTTTTTGTCCTCTCCTTCTCCATCTCTTCTCTTTCCCTGTTTTTCTTTCTCTCTCTCTTTGTGTCTATCCTTCGCTCAGCTCTATCTTCTGTGTTGGAGGATTGGGGTCAGGAGGAGCTAGCGAGCGGATGTCAAATTAAATTAAATATGTGATCTGAGCAGTTTTTCATTACAAAATAGGCCAAAACCAGGCAAACCCCCAAAAGGACTTTACAAGGCTCATAAGTCAAATAGGACGCTGCAAGAGACCTGATAAATTCCTTGAAGTGAAGTGAGAGAGACAGAGAAAGAAGAGAAACTTAAATTGGCACAGACATGTAGGACTGCAATGAATAATACTAGTGTCAGATATCGATGCATTTCACTGGATCAGGTATCGGTTCCATGGTATCTATTCAGCCAATATCCAAGTTTGACCATTAATTGGATGTAATAAGATCGTTACTGTTTGATGTACGCCCAGAACACCTCGTGATGTTTGAGCCGTTATTATACAAAGCTGTTCGGTATAGTTACTTGCAGCATACATAACAGTTGCATAACATGATTGGATCCACTTTTGTATTTATAGAATTAAATGTGTTTTGAGAAAAAAAAAAAGAAGCCATTTTCAGTACCTACAATGGTGTAACTTAATATCGTATATCAGTAGGTTCTGATCAAAATTCACATTTTACAGTTGTCTAGGAAAATGGATATTAAAAAAAAAACAATTAACAGAACATGAACAGAAACTAAATTATGGTACTTTAAAAATTCCAGCCTTTCCTGTTATCAATTGCGTCCATTCAAATCGCGATTACGGTTTGATTGCGATTCATTTTGCTGCCTTAGCCTCCATTCAAAAAGCAGTTACATTTTCACATTCACATCAGCCTCTCCAACATTTGTATCTGATTAAATGGCTGGCTTCCTGCTTCCGTAATGAGACAGACGGAGGTAGTATTGATTTAAACGTGCAGCTGAATCTAAAATGGTGAAAGTGTCATCGTCTCGTCTCTGATCATGAAAATGTGTGTAGGAGAATCACATAAGGAAAGGGACAAGGGTTACATCAGAATTAGGTCATGTATTTTAATAGTGTTGGATTTAATAGGTGGGAAGTGGCTTTAGATAACAGGAAGGTAATTATAGTACCGGTAGTAAGGAGCCTGACTGACAAAACTATGTCTAAATTAGGAAGGTATAACCAGTTTTTCTTGTAATTGGATAAAAGAACACATACATAAAGTTTAGTTATAATGATAAAGTAAGAATTTATGTCTTACGAAAATGTGTATATATGTGTATATATATATATATATATATATATATATATATATATATATATATATATATATATATATATATATATATATATATATATATATATGGATATAATGGATATATAAATATGGAAATGCATATTTGCAAGATGCTTAAAACCCTAACGTGAAACATTCAAGACAAAGAAATAACCAAAAATTCTATGGAGACAAGCCTCTACCCAATACAAAATAAAAGAATGCTTTGAAAGATCCAATATCAAACTAATGACTGTTTTTAATTTCTTAGAGACTCGATGCATCCAAATTCTAATCTCATTATAATAACAATACCCACATTGAATACTCCTACTCACCAATGAATGAAATGGCCTCTGGAAAAAATTGGGATAGGTTCTGACTCCAGTGATCTGAGATTGGGATCTGTTTGTACTTAAAGTCCCCCTCGTGTTCAAACATGTTGGGCAGATTCGGCGTGACGTTCAAGATGTACTTGATGTTATATTTACTGAGCACATCCAGGTTGGTGGAGTCTTTGGCACAACCCAGGTACAGATAGGGCAGGATTTGGACCGGGAATGCTGGTTGGTTGCTTGGTAATGGGCTGCCTTCCGATTCAGTGGCGCTTCCTGGTTCTCGATCCGATTCTCCGTCCGAACAGTCCGAGCTGATCCGGAGACCTCCCAGACCCAGGACCGAGGCTGGAGGAGAACTGCTGGGACACGAGCAGTCTAGGTTGGTCTCGCAGTGCTCTGGGTATTCCGACTGGAACTTGTTGAAGCCACCTGTGAAAAATATCAGTACTTTAATATACCAAAAACAAATTAATTATAAATATGTAGTAGTTATCATATTATAGTGTATAATAATCATAATAATAATAAAATAAGATAAGATATGCCTTTGTTAGTCCCACAGTGGGGAAATTCCAGTGTTGCAACACGCAATTCAAGAACAGCACGGAAAAAAAATGCGGTTGAGTAGTCAGCTATTTTTTTTTAATTTGTGGGCAAACGATTGTTTCTTTTGTACAATGATCACTGTAAATACTTTATAAACTAGGTGAATGTAAAAAGAATTACTGACTGGAAACTTATCTTTACGAACAAAGTGTATTATTGATTTAAAAAAAATAATGCATTGTTCCTTCTTTTTTGCCAGTTAGTAATAATAGTGCCATTATTTTTTGTTATCAAACAACTTTGAAATAAACAAAGTCTGTCGAATAATTATTCAAAGTACGAGGCAGAAATAGAGGCCTGATGTTTGGAAATAAACAAAGTCCATGAAATAATTATTCAAAGTATGAGGCAGAAATAGAAGCCTGATGTTGGACATATGCCTGATGTAGCCTACAGACTGTTAGGCCTATATCAAATCTATTAACATCAACCACTGCATTCAATCTGCCCATTAACCTGCTGTCATAAATTGAACACATAAAAACTAATAGCTTGTAAAAATTAATGCATTTTATCACTACTGACCCAATAAAATGAACGGTGAGTCTTAAAAAAAAGCTGTCTGTCTACTTCCAATAATGCAAACCACACATCCTTCTGCAAACCATAGACCTGTTTAAATTCCAGGGGTGGAAAAACTTATGTTACTACAACTGATATAATATATATATATATATATATATATATATATATATATATATATTATATATATATATATATTATATATATATATATTTCACTAATAGTAATTTGGGGTAGATTTGTAAACATGTTCTTGTTATTGCAATAGAGTAGCCATATTATTGTAATTAACTAAAACTATAGAAGTTAGTGAGTGAGCCACTAAAGCACAAGCCCCAACCATCCCAATGTCTAACCACAGTATCTGCGCCCAAACACACAAAATAGCCCTGCAAATTCTATATTTAAAACACAGTAGCTTGGTCAGATAGTAGTACTTTAGCGTGGTATTGGCGTCACTAGTCACTAATCTTCTTGACTTGGACAGATGTGGAGCTCCATTGAGAAATAGACAGACACGGGAGGACAGCGCTCTGCTCCTCTCCCCTTTTTTGTGAATGACAGATCGCACCGTGCCTCGCTGCCGCTTTCACAACATTTTAGCTCATTTCAGCGGATTAAAGGCTCCACAAACAGAGGCAAAACAAGCACACATAAACTCATTTCGGTCGCTTCCCTGTCGTGCATTTTAAGCTGCGGATAATGTAGTACTTTAGCTGTCACCAGAGGGTTCGTTCATTCATGAAAAAACAGCGCTTTTCCTACAGGAGCACAACATGGCGGAGCGAAATTGTAGCATTTTTCCCTCATATTTACACAATTTCTACCTCATTTATGCCATATAAAACGTGCCTGAGTAGAATGAACTGCTTTATGGCTTAAATATATTTTCAAATAATACACTAATACGCTTTGGGGGCGTATTCGTGAAAAAGTGAAAGTTTATCGCGACTACAAAGGTTTAGCAATTAGCCTACAAGCTAATATGCTAGCACGAGCAAAACATTGTAATAACATGATGATAACAAGGAAGGATTTCTTGCTTTCTGGCTATTTAATTGGTATGTACGAAATTAATCAATACAGGAAAGTCTGTAAGATGTGTTTTCAAGTTTTAGGTTGGTATTCTACCTCGTAACATCTGGTTTTGATTTGTTTTAATTGACTACAGTGGACTAAAATGTAAATAAGTGCCTTGGTCAACGTGACAGTCCTAGAACACGAGTATAGTAGCCTACATTACATGACTTTTGATGTAATAAACGCATTTATACAGTCCTCATACAACGTGATTATTTTCTTTGATGTTATAATTGTAAAAGATAAGAAAATAAGGTCATCAGGTTCAAAATGATCCAGACATATAGTATTGCTGTTGGCTAATGTACTTTGATTTATATCATTCCAAATCTGATACTGCAGTATATATAAAGTACCTTGCATAGTTAATAATCACATGGTTGTAAAGACTTTATTGAATTACAACTATGCAGGTTTGTGTTTAAAAAAAAATTGCAATGTTTGTCATTCTACTTAGCTGTAATTTGTGAGAGTTATAAAAGGATGAAATTAACAAAAATCAATAAGAACATAAACACATGTGAGATTGTGTTAAACCTAATGTTTTGTGATTTATATTTTTTGTTCATAAATCTGGGTACTATTTTGCTTAAGTCAAGTTTGTACCTAAGATTTTGAATAGTCCATTTTTCAACCATGAAAATGTAATAGCACTGATCATTTTGCGTAATTGCCATATCCAACCTGTCCACCATAAGACTAACATTCAGGTTTGCACTGTTTGTGTACTCACCCTCCAGGTAAAAAGCTTTACATCCATCATCCCGCAGTTTGTGCAGGAGCAGCCCCAGAACGGAGCTCCCCAACCCGGACTCCTGTCTCTCAGACGCCGCCTCGTCGTACAGCACCACCACGTCTGTCTTGCAGCGCTTGACAAATTTCTCCTTATCCTCATTATTGGGGATAATGGATCGGATGGGTAGGTTGCCTTTCTTCAGCCGGCGAAGCATGAGGCCCGGGATCGCCAGGTTTATCGCTGATTCAATGTGGGAGGACTCGTAAAGCTCGTGCGCTCTGCAGTCCAAAAGGAGCAGCGATGTGGCTCCATTCTCCAACTCCTCCTGTAGCCACTCCGCACTCTTACTCGACATGATCCTCACACAACCGCCTCGCACATTTTCACATTTCATCGGGTCGATCAGTCTGTCCCTTCACCGTGACATTAAAGAAAAATCAACACGGATAAAAAGGCGCAAATAGCGGAACCAAAATCCCACACTACCACCACTACCGCCGCGTTAACTTCCCTTCTTCTGTGCCAAATTTACAGTTCCATCAGCGCATCCAACATACTCGTTGTAATGCTAGTCTTGCTGGATAAAATCTGAAAACTTGCATGGATTCCAGCTATTTCTCGCTTCTCCAGTCCAAAGCGCTTGTCATTCCAGTGCGTCGGAATCCATTTACGCATAGATGAACGCAGATATCGATGCTGCCAATCTTAAATTTAAGTGTTAACGCATTACAGTAAAAATACAGGTGGATTTGGTGTTTCTAAAGCCCATGGTTATTGTTTATTATGAGTCCGTGGTTCGTGGTGCGCCCTGGGTTGTCATTACACCACTGGACTCACTGGAGAGGAGGCAGTGCAGAAGACTTGTCATTGAGAAAAGGGCGGAGCGAGCGCGTTTAAAGGCGCAGAGACGCACGAATACACGGTCCATTCACTGATCTCACACAAGCTTCACCTATGGCCGGACACCATTCAATGAATAGGCTACATTTAAAGATGTACACCGACTTTTAAGAATGACATAATTATAATTATTAAGAATGGAGCAAAATCCAACCGCGACACTTGCATTGTGCACACTAGTATATATATACTAGTGTGTATATATATATACTAGTGTGTGTGTGTATATATATATATATATATATATATATATATATATATATATATATATATATATATATATATATATATATATATATATATATATATATATATATATATATTTATAAATGCAGCAGAGAAATTTGGTATTGGTAACGTTATTAGCGACAAAAATCAAGTGTTGTCTATTTTAAGACCTGTTTAGTTTGCATCTGGTAAAGCTCCAATCAGTGTTGGGTGTGCACTTAAGAGTTCCACCACTCTCTATTTTATAATAAAAGCTTTTTTTTTTTTTTTTTTTTAACTAAAAAAATGCGCTAAAAAATGTACAAAAACGTGAATTACCGTGAATCCTCTTGCATCCCCCCAAACCAGACTCACAAGCACATCTATCTCCATGGAGTATGTTCCATAGTATGATTTTAACTTTATTTTTCCATGGAATCATGCAGGCGGTGCACCACTTCCAGAAAATGTGAGGTGTTTTGGAGTATTGTAAGTAAAAGTAAAAGACTTCAAGCTCATTCTATCACTTGATGATTAAATGTAAGCTATGTACAGTATGTCATGGAATTATTTGGTCAACCCCAACAAACATAGCCGTAAATAAATGCATAATAAATAATAATGCAATATATTATGCAAAAAAAGAATAATACCACTGTCTATCACTGGTTCTTATCTTTATCTCTTTAGCTCAGCATTTTATTTTTGCTTAAACCAATAAAGCACAGACTATATCTTACTCACCGCGTGTGTCATCTCTTTCTCCTATGTAAAACACCAGAGTTGTAAAAACTAATGTGGTGTGAAAGCAGACATAAAGCCAGTCTTTTGGAAACACATGATGCACATTGTGGTTAAATGACATTATGAGTGTGGTTAAACAGACTGAGGCCAAACCACACAGTAATAAGGCATTAGAGGAGTAGCCATACATTTGTAACATCACTCAGGTTTATTTTAAGCTGTTTCTGAGTTAGCATTTCTCTCACTATTGTTGCCACGGTGCAGTAGTTCATAGGTTGGTCTATAGTTTATTGACTGAAAGTTCAAATCTGTAAGTTCTATAATCAATTGTATGTTTTGTTATCATCACACAATCTATATTTTAACCTGTTGTTGAAGGTCCTATTGACGCTAAAGTTTAAGTAATGTTAGAATTTTGTTACCTCATCAAAAACATTTGAGTTTTGTTGAGTTGAGTTTTGTTTTATTCACACGTCTGAGGAACCCCTTATTATTAGTCTGTCTACATCTCCAAAACTTCCACCTTGTGATGTCATGAAGCAGAAGTTTTCAAGTTAACAGCTACCTTATACCTTTTGTTTCACAGAGATGGGAAATCCCAGGGCTGAAATGATCCAAATGATTCTAGGGAAGGTGTATGGAGTTTACAAACACAATGGAGCACACCCTGTATTACCACACAACATCACAAGGTGGAACAGAACGTTTTCTGTTTGAAAGGAGAACACAACCTAACTATGCAGTGTGTGCGTGTTAAACGTGTGATAAGATTTGTGCATATTGTGTAAGAGGACATGACGTAGCGGGTGTGAGGGAGTACAGGATGGAGAAAATTGGGTCAAATGATTTTTGCTGATTTGATATTTTGTACAGCTGTAAACCAAACATCATCATTATTAAAGCGACAGTGTGTAATTTTTTGAAGGTGAAATGTCAGCTGCATGATTCCTTGTAAGTAGAAAGTTAGTCATACTGCCAGATGGGGGCCAAGAACCACTTTCCCTATTTATAACATCTGCCCTGTATTACAACAAAACTCAGCATTTTACCATTATTAATTTTAGCTGACACTTCAATTGTATGAAGGGAATATATTGCACTATTTTCTGATTTATCTTATAATGTTGTTTTCTCACCAAAAACATACCTTAAGTCATGTTTTGTTTCATTCACACATGTTCACAAATCCTGCATATTTAGGCTAAGCTCTTCTTTCAAACATAAAACACCCAGTTCTACCTTGTGTCCACTTTCTTTTTAAACTTCATACACATTCACTTGAATCATATGGATAATTTCCATCCTAGAATTGCCCATCTCTACTGAAATAAAGGCAAAATGTTAATTTGAAATCTATGGCTTCATGACATCACAAGGTAGAACAGAACATTTTGAGCTTTGGAGCTGTAGACAGACTAATAATAAAGAGTTACTCAAACGTGTGAATGAAACAAAACACAACTATGGGTATGTTTTTGTAGCCAGGCTGGCGCCACCTAGTGCCTCCGCTCAATTGCATTTCTCTCCAGTGATTCAGAAATTGGAATTCACTAGACGGTTCGAAAAAACCCCGGAGGCACCAACCAATCAGCAAAGAGCCATACATTCTGTGTTGGCAACGATTCCCAAGATCGAGGATTTAAAGCTGGAACAAAGAGAATGTTCGGTGAATTTTATCAAGGGGAAAGATGTTATTGCCCTTCTTTCTACGGGATTTTGGAAAAGGTTAATATACCAGTTAGCCCCATTAGCGGCGCATTACATACATCACGACCAAATAGCAGTGATTGGTTAAATGAAAAAAGTACCCCCCTACCGTTGAGTAAACGAATTCTAATGCTGCGAGGTCAGACGGTTTCTATGACGTAAAACTGACTGATGAGTCACGTAAATGTTTTTGAGGAGGTAACAACATTCTAACATGGCTTAAACCCCAGAAGAGTACATTTTGTGCAATACAGGAATGTTGGGATGCCACCCAGCAATACCTACAACATTTCCAAACAAGAGTTAGGTTTGTGAAGAAGCAAGCCCACTCACACTACATGTTTTTCTGTTTTCAACAAAAACAATGCAATTTTTTTTTTTTTTCTATTTTTTAGCTAAAAAGTTACGCGATTTAAAATATTCTGACTTGAGTTTAGCAAGTAGCCATGTTGGATGACCTAATGCGGCCTGGGCAAGTTGAGACAGTGGTGTGAGAGAGAGAGGAAGAGAGGAGCGTTTGATTTCCTCACAGCTGCACAGGGGACGAGTGGGGGATGCACCAGCTGCCGACAATGGCTCTTTATCAGAACGCGGACATATGCATAAACACACAGTCACGCTAACGCAACATAAAAAACGCACACATCAGCGCCAAAACACACAACAAAACACACAACAAACTACGCACATCAACTTTCCAATGTCTAGAATCGCCTCATGGACAACAACAGGGCTCTCAGTGTGGACACTCTGCTGCTGGAAGTAAACAAAAATACAGGCCTACGCATTTGTTTGTTATGTAAAGTGCAAATGACAGATTAGACTCATCACATTGTATGAAACGTAGCTATCTCCATGGAAAATGTCTTGAAATATGGTTTTAACTGTGTTTTTACACGGAATCATACAAGCGAACCTCCAGAAACTGAGGTGAGGTGTTTTGCAGTGTTAAATATTGTAGGTTACATAAAAGCTTTCAAGATTTTAATCACATTTATTCTCTGGTTCTATTCTATTATAACTTGATGATAATATGTAAGCTATATTTGTCTTGGAATGATTTAGTCAACCCCAACAAACATTGACTTAAGTAAATGCATAATAAATAATGCTACAGTATATTATGCAAAACAAAATACTGTGATAACACTGTCTGTCGCTGGTATTTATATCCTTATCTCTTTAACTCAGCATTTTGTTTTTAGACTATATGTTACTCACCGTCTGTATCATCTCTTTGTCCTATGTAAAACACCAGAGTCAACATAATTATATTTAAGATTTTACTCATAATCTTGACTAGTTTTCTGTGAAGCTTGCAACTTGACTTCCTGGTTAGAGACGGGCAGCATGACATACATTGAGGTAAACCATAATACTTTTAACAGCTAAAACTTGTCTAAATTGCACAATAGTTATGATTAGACTAATAAATAGAAATGACAGCACATTTATTTAGTTAAATGAAGGTCTAAACTATCACAAATATGCCTTCCTTGCAAGTAAATTGTCACTGCTTTTAAAAAAAAAAAATTCTACTGATGACAGTGGTAAAAGAATTCCATTTTAAAACAAATCCGTATATCATTTGTTAATTTGTTATTCAATATAAAACCAAAAATAAGAAAATAAAAAAAACAACTGTTTTCTTCATTCATTGTCTCCAAAACCAAAATGAAAAAATGGATAATGATTTATTTTTGATTTTATGTTTAAATGAATAACGGACGTTTCAAGTTTCCATGACTTAAACTGCGATGCCGGACTTTTGTGCCACATACAGACTGAACCAGGACTGAACCGGGTCCGGGACCAGACTGGTACCAGACCGGGACTGAGACTGGGACTGAGACCAGGACCAGACCAGATCTGAGACCAGGAGTGAGGCCAGACCAGACCGGGACTAAGACCAGGACCAGACCGGGACCAGACCGGGACCGAGACTGGGACCAAGACTGGGACCGAGACCGGGACCAGAACAGGACAGACACCAGGACCGAGACTGGGACCAGACCAGGACTGAGACTGGGACCAGATCAGGACTGAAAACGATTTAGTCTTGCTTTAGTCCTGGTTCAATCCGTATGAGGCGCAAAAGTCCAGCATTGCAGTTTAAGTCATGGAAACAGGAAACGGCTGTTATCCATTTTTTCCATTATTCATTTAAACACAAAATCGAAAACTGAAAAAAATGAATCGTTATCATTTTTTTCATTTTGGTTTTGGGGACAAATAATGAAGAAAATCGTTGTTTTTTTTGTT